TGGACCTGCTTCTGATATTTCTTATGCCGTTGAACGTGGTCGTTGTCGGACCGAATCTTAAATGGTGCACTCTGTATATACGTTGAAGATTAAACTTGCTTTGTTTGGTAACACCGTGAAAAGGAATGGGGGAGTAGATGTATAGCTCTACGCATTCTCAACTTGGCAATAGATGGAGATGAGTAAATGGCTTTACGCTTCGGCCGTTTTACCCTCTGGGAATGAGTTTCGGTACCCACTGAATAGAGCGCTGTTTGGGCCCCAGAAAAATCCCTGTCCTTGCCGATACTCAATTCGCGGTTGCACTGCCATTAGCCTGTCAGTGTCGCTATGTGACTTGAGTTCTGGCTCGCACAAAATACGACGTAGAGTGTGAAGTAAAGACACGAAGACTTGCTACAAGACTTGGTTATAGTGTCTTCCTCTAACCATACTGAAATATAATTGGATGAGTAAAAACAGAATGTAAATAGCATGGAAACAGGCATCTCTTTTTTAATAAGAACGCGTATTGAACTTCGCCTTTATAATTCAAACGACCGGAAACCTCTGTGTGTACTGCGGAAACATATCGAGTGCACAGATAGATAACTCGCTGTACGACCCTCTCTGTTGTGAGAGCGTCTTGGCGCGTAGCACAAGCATTTCCTGAAAAAAGATATACAAATATTTATTTTCAAATTCAGAAATAAACAGTTCGGTCGTTGACACAGTATCTTATCTTTCCTTCCGTGTCCATTCGGTTGTTCTGTCTACTTTAACTTATATTTACATATACAGGCAGATGAAACTTCTTGCATTTTGTGGCGGGATATTCTGCCTTGAATACAAAGAGAAGCGTAGATTCAAGGGAAGAACTGGAGATTTGTAACTCCAGGGACAAGTTTCAACAACGTAGAAATCATTGTCCCATATATACAAAAAGAATGAAGCAGTACTATGTACCAGATCGGACTAGCTCAAATAGAATTTTTCTAAAGAAAATACCCGACTTATAAAGAAGTCGATAAAATTGATCCAAAAATATATAAAAATTGTTGCCATTGAAATTTACTAATGCTAATTTCAAATATAATTCTATGGGGCATAAGGAAAACTAATTTATGAAGATGGCTGTCTCCTGGGCTGTAGCGCCGTGTAGTCTGGTAGAAGTTTACCGAAGTTTTATAGGTCCTTGCTGTATCCATCATCAGGGCGATGATGAGTAACTTATCAAGGACCTGTGGAACGTCGGCAAACTTCTACCAGACTACACGGCGCTACAACCCAGAAGACAGCCATCTTCGTGCTCACCGCTGTGAGAACCTCAGATCCAACTAATTTATGATTTACAGTGTGACCAAGCAGGTTGTAGCAGTAATGTTATAGATGTGTGTTCGGGAGGTAGCTCGTTAGAAATTCTGCCGGTATACCGGCTAACGTGTTTGTGGCTTTCCCTGCACCTTCAAAGACGCCCATCTAGACCCTAATCTGCTCACTACTCATCATCTTTACATCTCACTAAACGCAGTGTAACCTGAAAATTGAAAAACGTTGTCAAGTAACCAATCTTTAGAGTGTTAAATGTGCTAAACTCCGGATCAATGTTTGTATTAGAAGTAAATGAACATTAGTACCGATGAAACATGCTGAATGTAAGGAACGCATTTGGAAAATATGTGGACTACAGGAATACACATTTCCAGTCTTACTTCTGATTTGCGTTTTCCCATGGAAGACGAGAGGCATGCTGTGATATTTAGTACAGCTGTATTCGAGATAATCCATCTTAAGTCGCCTGATTTCTTTACTTAGATTGACCCGCATAGCATATCTGCTGAAGAAGATGCCGCATGAACTCTGGGCTGATTCCTCGGCGCGTTGAGCAGATGAGCTGTTGAACAGTCTCATCACTATGCTGAATTATAACGTTTCAGACAGACATATTGTCACAGTCCAGAAGATCATCGTCTTCTTCATCATCGCTGTAACATCATATCCCACATTGTTAATATTAATTAAAGAATAATAGCGTATGAGAATAGTGTGGCTGGAACGTTTTATGTATGAAAACTTTCCGTATTTTAAGAAAAATTTGTGGAAATCAGTCAGAAGGATAGAGAAACTGATAAGTGTCCATTATGCAGCACTCTGCATTTATGAATTCAAATTGGCAAAGTATCTAGTCGAGTGTTTTTGATGATTTTATATAGCATATATAACATCGTTCGGGTTCGCCGGAATATGTAACTTGATGATAAATGCATTTGGACGAATCGCGCTGAACTGCTTCTAACCGAATAAACTAGTTCACGTGTTCTAAACTTTGCTCACTGTTCCACTTACCCTCTAATCACTAGGCCCTAATTGACAGACTAGTAGAATGAGCTTTTTGTTTCGAAGGAAGTGTGAAACATGGCTTATCCTTACAGTTCCAATGTTAGGACTGTAAAGATGTTCATAGTGGACGGATTGGTGGATGATTATATGAACGAAGAGTGGAAACTTTGCTGTGTGATTAAAATATTGTGTCATCCCACTATAAAAACGTTTTTTCTTTAAAGAATGAACTATTGTATGACCGATATGAAGTGTACCAGAAACATCTCTAGAAGTTTAAGAATGGCGATGATGGTGTTCTAGGTTTTGGTGCTAAGAAGACTCTTCTGCATTCAGCACTTGACTAATTATGTTGTGTTTCATATTCACTGTGAGGCATTGAAGAGACTTCCCGTGTAGACTTAAGAAGAAATCATTTTCTTTCGTAAAGTACACTTTACAAAAATGTAAGAGGCAGGTGTAATACATTGTTTTATATAAATTTGCGCGCATAATGCATTTTTGTAAACAGTTAATTCTGAAAATACAGATCTTTCCAGAAAATCGGCAGTTTTGTTGAAGTACACTTACGATCTCACAGCGTGTTAGTACGTATCTTATACAATTAATAAAGATAGTTCAGACGGATACGAAGTATTTCCTTAACAACTCTCATTTTATCGATATTTTCGCAGAAAATATCATTACATGACGCAGAGAAAATTGTGTTAATCTCACGATAAGACGTAGGTTCTTTTTAAAGATGTGCTGAATATCATTATGTAAGTAGGAAAAGTAATTTCACGTTTATTCACAAAGAATCGTGGAAAGCCCAGACGTTCGTGTGCGGTTGTGTGTATGTGCCAGTGAATTGTTGAAGATGAGAGAAATGATTTAACAGAAATGTTATACGGATAATACAATGTTTAATGCATTGTGTGTAATTATAAGCTATGCATCTGTCAACATCCATAGGAAAGGATAATAACTACCCGCCCTGGTCTTATGCACATTATAAGGTAAATTAAATTTGATTTTGCTGACCAGTGAACGCAACTTGAATTTTGAGGTCTGTTTTATCTGTACCAGTGTGCTGCTTACAATTGTGTTCTTTACATGAAGAACATAAACACGTATAATAATGCTGTTTCTGTCTTCCTGTCCGTCCGTCCGTCAGTTTTTAAGTCCATCCGCTTATTACATTTACGAAACTACTGCACGGATTCACGAAACATTGTCGAGCTAATTTAATTCTGAGGATGGCTGTCTTCTGTGTTGTGCCTTCTAGTCTGGGAGACGTTTACCGACGTTTCAGAGTTGCTTGGCTGCCGCCATCATAAGGGCGCTGAGAACTCAGAAAGCACCTCTGAAACGTCGGTAAACGCCTCCCAGACTATATGGCACAACAACACAGAAGACAGCCATCTGCATACTTGTTACCGTGAGAACCGACAGTCTCACTAATTTGTGTCTGGTTTGTGGAAATACAACATTACGTAATTCAGGTTATAAAATCAGTATTTGATGGAACAGTAGTTGTACTACATTTTAGAGAAAAAGTATAAGAAATTTGAGGTGAATACTGAAAGAAGACTAGGGTATAGCTAGTACAATTAATAATTTACAAAATGTTTGCCTACGGGCACATTTGAGAGTTTATGAGATCGTGGCGGGCACCAACCAATTAACAAAGCCCAATTTTCTTTTCTCTGGACAAATAAGATATGGACACCAAATAATACACAAAAACAACGCGACGTTTAATGATACAAGAAACCACGTAATCAAAAATACGTACTTTTATAAGTACAATTATTATTACTCAAGTGGGAAGTTAGTGTGATGTTTGGCAGTGCATTTCATCGGCCAGTTTTTCAAACTTGTGAGTGTAGGATGATGTTGCTGCTCGCAAACAATCGTCATGATAGGCATTCGTAAGCAGAGATCTGTGCTTTGATTTTATAATTTTCATGGTTGAACGGCCTTCATTATTCAGTATAACCTCTTTCCGTATCAACGCGGGCACCCAAAAAAGCCTTGGCGGGCGCCATGGCACCTGCAGGCACCGCGTTGGGGACCCTGTTCTAGGGGATTTTACATGTGGAAAATTCTACATAATCTAGAACAATTTATGGACACTGATCATGGGATCTTTGACTAATGCCATATTTTGTCTAGAAACAAACACATATAAAACCATAACTACATTTTTATTTATATGGGCATGAAACTTGGTCTATCACCTTGAGGGAAAACATAGATTGTAGGTGTCTCAGAACAAGTTGCTGAGGAAATCTGCGTTTTGAACAGATTCAAAAATTGTACTCTTCACTTCATGTTATTAAGGTGACAGAATTGAAGAAAATGAGATGGGGTGTTAATGTAACATACACGGGAGTGATTAGAAATGCATACATTTTAGTTAGGAACACTGGAAGGGACAAAGCAACTTTGAAGACTTGGGCACGGATGAGAGGATAATACTAAACTGATCCTAAAGAGATTTGATGTGAGCATGTAGAATGGATTCATGTGGCTTTTGGTTTTGTAAGATATTACAGTTACAAGGAGAAAATATAAATGCTTTCATATAGCCCATCTGTGACTTGTGTGTTTGTAAAACCATGAAAGAAGTTAGATTCTTTCTGCTTCTTATGCCAGCATATCTCTAATTCTGATGGTTATATTGTCTTCTGTTGCAGGGAAATCGACTGTCGGCAGTAGGAGACACCAGGATACTGTGGGTTGGTGGTGATTATGGGCCGAGTTCTAAACCCCAATTTCGAAATAACAGAATTGTCACATCTAAGGTAATTGTTCTTAGTAAGCATTTTTGTTTCTTTTTGAAAACTTTTGGCTCCTTGATGTTATATAATCTTTATGAAGTTATGCTTAGTTGGCAAATGATGAGACATGAAGAAAAATGCTCGTGCTCAAATTGTATTTCATGCTTGCCTATTTGTTTTATTACATTGATCTTATTTTAATATTGAATTGATTTAATCAACATGGATATAGTATTATAATATTTGATGTAATCATAATGGAAGATGGACTGACTGACCTCGTATATCTTATACAGAGTGACTAAAAGTGTTCTTTGCACTTTTGAAAATGTATTTTCAGTAACCTAAGGCACCCTTCTATTGAACATTTTAGGATATAATAAGCAGTATACCCCTTTATACAGTTTTCTCTAACCTCCTGTTACATATATTTTCTTTGGTCCAAATATTCTCCTTAGTGCCTGTTTTGAAATACCCAAAATATGTGTTCTTCCCTTAAGATGAACCACCAAGTTTCACACCTATACAATTGAAATTTGCTGATAGATAAATAAATAACATGGAATTTTATGTTTTGGTGTTACAGTACACAATTTGGAGCTTCTTGCCAAAAAATCTCTTCGAGCAATTTAGAAGAATAGCAAATTTCTACTTCTTATGCATGACTGTTATTTCAGTAAGTAGCAAAGCAGTATATTTTTATTCTGTAATTTTTGTGACATAGATTTAACATGCATTATATTGCCAGGAAAACTGAATGAAAGATAAAACTGTTTGTTCATTGATATTTGACATCAGCTTAAAAATAATTGATTTTCAGAAGCTGCATAATACAGTTTACATTCAGAAATAATATGACATTTAAATTGATATCTTCAGTATGTATGATAATTCTATCATTCTATCACTCTTTAACACAGATGAAGGGATGGTTAATTTCATTATATTTGTTCCTTGATTGGTGTTGAATTGGAAAAATATTCTCTTACAGTTGACAATTGAAAGCCCTGTGGAGCCACTAACCAGTGTTCTTCCTCTTATGTTCGTAATTGCTGTAACAGCTTTAAAGCAAAGCTATGAAGACTGGTTACGACACCGCTCAGATAATGAAGTTAACTGCGCTCTGGTTACTGTCATAAGAAAAGGAATTGTACAGGTATAGTTGTCATATACCATATGCATAATTATGTATAGGAAAAATTCTAATCTGACTTTTTTGAGAAACAATTATCCAGTTTTAACATATAGAAGTAAATTAGTGATTGTGGTAGAAGACAGAATTTTTGTCTTTACACAACATTATGATAAAATTATCTGTATAATGAAATTGATATAAATGAGGATATGGTGACATATTATGTGTTATATAGTATTTTATTTAGAGTGTTCATAATAATATCAAAATGTGATAATGTGGGAAGATTACAGTTCTTTTTAGATTAAAATTTCATATGGGAGCATGTATTTGATCCAGAAGATGAAATTTGCCACATTAATGTATGAATGTAATAATGTGCTTGTGTATGAATGTATGTTTGCACATGCACAATTAGAAAAAAGAGAGAGCACCCTTATTTGCATAATATATGCAATTGTTAATATTTGATAATGATACAGCATAATTAATTCATAGTAAAATTATGATGATGATGATGATGATGCATACTGTTGTGTTTGATCTTATGGTTGCATTCAGTTCTTTATCTTACAGGACATCAAGGCTAAAGATGTGCATGTAGGTGATCTGGTAAGAATAATGAGTGATGCTGATGTTCCATGTGACCTTGTCCTACTTTCATCCAGTAACAGTGATGGTCGTTGCTATGTCACCACTGCTAACCTGGATGGAGAAACCAACCTTAAGGTATAATATTCTTAAATTATGTTGCTATTAACCTCTATTATATGGGCATGTCATTGACTTCCCATTGATTTACATTATAAAAAGAGTTTCAATTTATGCTGGTTCGTCCAGGAACGCATCCCCGGCATAAATCGAGGTTTACCTGTACAGTCAGCTGGATTGTGTCATTAAAAGTTTATATGAATTTCTAAAATTTCAGGTATGTGGTCAGTATGAGAGATCAATGCACTTTTGTTCTTCTTTAATATGGGATGTGCCTTGAAAAAGGCAGATATTGCATTTTTTATAATGTAAATAAGGTTATAATAATGCATATTTAGCTTTTGTTGTGAATATTGAATACATATTTTATTTTGCTTTAATGCTACATAAAATTTTTTGTGCTTATTTTAAAAATAACATGTATTTATTGTAAATTTGGAGATTGATTCTTGGTTTATTTAACAGCACTTTTTCAACTGCATAGATTATTCAGTAAAGTGTTAAAAGGTTGAATGATTGTGAAATATGATTTGAAAAGAGTGTGGGAGGACCTGGTTATGGCCTATTTTACTGTACTATCTCTCCTCTTGCTTTGAGGAACTGAGGAGAACTATGACCAAGATTTTAAACCAGGACCTCTCAACTACATAGCAGAAGTGTTAACCACCCAACTACATATTAAATGAGATTTTATTTTTATTTCTCTCATCTATTCCTTGTGTGCTACAAGTTCCACACTCCATGACCTGACAACTCTTATAAAATTTGGTGATGAGTACAAATTGTGAAGCTCTCATTATGGAACTTTCTCCAGCCTCCTGTTGCTTTCCCTTTCTCAGGTCCAAATATTTGTTCAGTAGCCTATTCCAACACCCGCAGTCTATGATATTCTCCTACATGTTTTATTTTACATTTCGATTTGTTTGGCACTGTAAGAAATATTTGGGCCTAAGAGGGAAGACGATGGGGCGTGGAGAAAACTGCACAATGACGAGCTTAAAAATCTGTACTGCTCCCCCAGTATTGTGAGGGTGATTAAGTCGAGAAGAGTGAGATGGGCGGGACATGTAGCGCGCATGGATGGGACGAGGTGTGCACCGGGTACTGGTTGGGAAACCTGAAGGGAAGAGACCGCTGGGGAGACCTAGACGTAGATGGGAGGATAATCTCAGGCGGGATCTATGGGAGATAGGAGTTGAAGGAAACTGGATTTTGTTGGCCCAGGACAGGGTCCGGTGGAGGGCTTTGGTTAATTCAGTGATGAACCTTCGGGTTCGGTAAGCCAGTTAGTTAGTTAGTTAGTTAGTTGGCACTGTAAGAACAAAGCAGCCAAATTCAGGAGGTGAAATGTTTAAAAACGCATTGAACAGAACTTCAGTGCACTAAGATTGTATACTATTATAAAATGTTCTTTAGGCTATTACACTCTTGTCATTTTAAGTCTATTTTAAGACAGTTTGCAATAGATGGAAGGCAGTAAATTAAAAAAGTGTTATGTTGAAGGGAAAAGTAGTGTATGTCTCCTAGTGAAGACCACTGGTTTATATTAACTCAGACACTTCAACTATGTGTTTGTAATTTTAGTATTTCCTTTTTCAACACAGACTCTGGTGTGTCCAAGAATCTTACGTAATTTATCACAACCAGGGCAACTGACCCGACTGAAAGCTCAGATTGAATGTGAACAGCCCACTCCAGACTTGTACAAATTTTTTGGGAAAATTGAAATATTTCCCAATGAAGCAAACACATGGGATGCAAATTCACCATTAGAACATACCAGTATTAAGAGTGTAAGATCTTCCCAGCATGCTTATGACTTTGATGGTATAGCATTGCAGACTATGAGTGCTAGCAGTGCTGACATTACTTTGCAACAGTACTGTATTGATAATGACATAACTTTGAGAAGAGCCAGTATTCTGGATGGTAATGTACCTACAAATCACAACAGGGACTCATCTTCACATAGAACTAGAATGGACAGAGGTATACACTTACAGTGCATAAATAGTGTTCCTTTAGATGTAACTAGTTTTATCAATGAGCATGCGGCTGTGAACCAAAGAAGTTCTGTTGGAGGAGCTGCAGCTCGGAAAACAACACAAGAAGGCTGTGATGAAATTCAAAATGTTGAATGTATAGTTGATGCTGTTGTAGCTGATCCAGACTTAAGCAAGAGTAATATTAACAGAAATGGACCTAGTTTTAAAGAACAAGCTTCGAAAAGCTCTTTGATTACCGGGGATGTCAATTTTATTCAAACAGAAGCTGACGAAGCTACATCATCACAAACATGTGGCAGTAATGTTAATTCAGTTATGCTAAGAGAAACTGTTAAAAGAAGCATAGTATCAAAGCAAGAAAGTGTTCTAGAAACAAGGCTCGGTGCAGGACAGTTTGATTCTGAATTTCAAGACACAAACTCTTCACCACTTGGAACAGAGAACTTACTCCTTAGGGGTGCCCGGCTCAAGAACACAGAGTTTGTTATTGGTAAGTTTCATTCTGTTTCTTAACAGCATATCTTATTCTCCTCATCTATTATCTTGCATTTTTCTAAAGGTACTGTGTAAATGAAACATAAAGGAATAATGGAGTTTTTTATTAAGGCCTCTACTAGTTTTCATTATTGTACCATTCAAGTTTTGGATGGGAAATATGGAAATACAGGTCTATGTACAAGCTGAATGAATTTGGAAATTTTGTAGTAATTTTTTTATTCTTCCTCGAACACACATGGCACCCACAAGTGCTATCTGCAGCCATCCAGTCTGATGTGTTGAGCTTAAGATGACTGATTTGATTGGCTGTGGCTGCATTGAGGTTAAGGCTTCTGTGCACTCATTTCCAGCAAATTCTTAACTAAAGTCAGACAAAATTTTCTTAGCCAGATAGTTGATTATTGATTCATACAACAATTCTAACAGTGCCTTGGTGGTTTAACATGATTAACATGATGAACATGAATGCTTTGCCCCTGATGTTTTATACTGATAATAATATAAGATGCATCTTTTTATAGGCTGTGCAGTTTACACAGGACAAGAAACAAAACTTGCTCTCAACTCCAAGCTGACTAGCAACAAATTTTCTACTGTTGAAAAGTAAGTTGCCATTGCAGTGGAGCTAGTTATTTTGACCACTTTATAAGTTTTGTCCCATGTATGTAGTGAATGTTTCAGGTTATTGTTTAATGTAGCAATTTATTCTTTCTGTTGTATGAGGATGTTTCAAATGAAACATGGAAAACATTTGTGTAGATGGTTTGGTCTGTGCAGTTGTTCATTGTCAGGTTGAAGTAATTCTACTACATAATTGATTTTACTTATATTCTTATTGTAACATGGCACATAGGAGAGTCAGGAAAGCAATTTTCCACTTTGTTTATGTGATATGTTACTTTGCTGGAAAGAAAAAGTACATTATCAGTGTTTGGAGACAATGTGTTCAGGAAAATACTTGGATCCAAAATTGATGAAGTGGGTGAGCTGTTTATGAAATTTTGTTATGAGGAGCATTGTATTGTATTCTGTTGTATTGTTAGGGTAGTGAGTCCAGGGGGGGTTGTGATGGGATGGTCATGTAGCTAGAATTGGAGGGGGGGAGGAGGAAAAATACATAACAAAAGTTTGGTGGGTAAACCTCTTGTGGAAGATGGCCCCTTGGAAGACTAAGAAGGAGCTGAAAGGATGATAACATTAAGATTGATTGTAGGATCCTTTGCTGTGCATAATTCATACTAATTGTACTGTTTTTCAGTTTCCAGCTGTTAATATGCACTAAGATATCTTATTGATTCATTAGCCTGTGAATTAATTGTTGTTCTATACTGGCAGGTCAATTAATAGCTTCCTGTTATTCTTCCTTGGCCTGTTGCTCACTGAAGTAGCTGTTTCTCTTGCCTTTAAATATGCAGTAGAAATTGATGGTAAGTACAGTAAGTATTTACATTTTTTAGATTTGTTTGTGTAAAGTGAAATATACTATAATGCATGTCTGTGACTTACTATTATTATTTTATTGGCCCATGTACAAACAAAATGTTTATCACCTAAGTTACGGAACAAATAGTGAATGAGCATGGCAGGTGCTGAACATAAAACTGGATCTCCTCATTGCCTAAAACATTATGCTGCATCCATTTATATCCACAATCTTATTCGAAGAATGTGGTTAGTTACAGATAATGCACAGTTTGTTGCAGATAATGTCATTTCAGACCTATTTGCATGTGAGTTCCAATTTTAATGGATAAATCAACTAGCATAAAAAATATATAAAATATAAGAGCAAACATTTTAAAAATAATATTAATTTATTTGGGATATGTGGTCCACAACACTGAGATCATAATTTTCTCTCAGTTTCTCACAAGTAATAAACAACATAAACTATATTTGTGTATCTCTGAACTTAACTTACATTTCTCTGCTTTCAGGCACAGAATCATACCTAGGAGAAAAAAATGATATTAATGTTTCAGCAGTTCTACAGGATTTGTTTTCGTTTGTTATTATTTACAACTATATCATTCCTATTTCTCTGTATGTTACTATTGGTGAGTGTCAGCTTACAGTGTTTTAACTACTAGAAGTACACAAAAATACCTAAAATTATACTTGTATAATTTTGTCCCAGCATAATAGACTCTAAGAATAGCATCTGATCTGTGAAAGTCATGTTTTTATACACAACAACAATTTCAAAGGTTAAGGTCCTGTTTTTGTCTTTATATTTATTGCATGAGTTTCCCTTGGTGGACTAGTGGTTAGCATGCTCGCCACTGAACCCAAGGTTCACGGGTTCAAACCTGACCGAGGTCAGTGGATTTTTAAGGGTGATAAAAATCTGTTGTACGACTTGCTTCAGAGGGAAAGTAAAGCTGGCGGTCTATGTCATAGATTTATGGCATGTAAAAAAACCTTATGAGTATGATACGGGATGTTTTGTAAGCAAAATTCAGCGGCCATTTCTCACCCATGTCTCCTGATTTAGTGCTAGATGGCTCTGGCAGTCAAATCAGGATTGAGTAGAAATTGTTCAGAGTCAGTGGGTTGGTCACTCACTACTCACAAATTCACACTTCAAAAATACCAAGAATTCTCCTAAGTGGGGAGGTCATGGCCTCAAAATGGGCCGAAGCACCATAGATGATTATGATGATGATTTATTGCATGAATCTCTCAGTCTACCTGAAACATTTCTGAGATGTCAATTGGAAATCTTGTTAGAGATAACATATTGCTGGAACTTCTTAAATAATTTTCTATGTGATTTACCTTGCTGAGCACCTACCATGATTCGAATAATGTTCTTTTGTAAAAGGAATAATTTTTTAAACTACCTGAAGATTTACCATGTGTCATGATTGAATGGAAGCAATAAAAATACACTGTTCCCTAGCAGCAATCAATAAGTTAGTTTTACCTTAAAATATTACGCAAGTCAGGCGTGAATGACTCTCTAATTTTGAGAACAAAGCATCATTAAAGGAGTTCAAGAAATATCACTGAACACTGTATAAAATGCAAGTTAATCAAATTCAAGGTTGCTCATTACAAGTGTGTGTGCACGTGCATAGACATATTATTTGACACATGTCATTTTTGGAATTTCTAATGTTAATTTTTTATGACCCAAGTGTTACCTCATTGAGCATTATGATTGATGTGCCACATGTTCATATTTTTCAGAAACACAGAAATTTATTGGCTCGTTATTTTTAACGTGGGATATAGAGCTATATTGTGAAAAGACAAACCAACCTGCAATTTGCAACACTTCAGATTTGAATGAAGAATTAGGACAGGTATGGTAAGCTGCATTAATTTTTTGGAGTTTGAACTGTCATATCTTTTTCTTACTTTTAGTGTCAATGTTTGCAGAGAGTAATAAAATCTTTGAAATGTGGCATTGTTCAAGCCTTCACCAAATATAATAAGGATTATGTGAACAGTGCTTGTGGTATGCATCGGGAAGATTAGAAATGTGTACAAAATTTTAGCTGGGAAGTCTGAAGGGAAGAGAGTTCTAGGAGGATCTAGGCATAGATGGAAGGACAATATTAAATTGAATCTTAAGGAAATAGGGTTTGAGGGTATGAACTGAATTCATCTGGCTTAGGATAGAGGCTTGGCTGCTCTTATGAAGATGGTATTGAACCTTCAGGTTGTAAATATTAACTGGAGAATTTTGTGTGCTAATGTCTGAAATTTATTTTTAATAGGTAGAATACCTGTTCACTGATAAGACAGGTACTCTCACAGAAAACACCATGTGGTTCAGGCGATGTTCTATTGCTGGTATCCCTTATTTGGAGGACAGAGGAAAAATGTTCCAACTTTTGGCAGATGGTGATGAAAGGAACAGCATAATTCTGGATACATTCACTGTAAGTAGGTCTCTTTATCCTGTCACCATTTGTATATGTTTTTGTATATTTTAATACGTCTCTTTTGAGGTATATAGAAGTTCTGAAAGCTGTGAGAACAATTGTCATGAAGAAAGGTCAAAGATAAGCAGGGAAGAACCAATATGATGTATTTTGAGATACTATCCTAGAATTCTTCTGGAGGTATTGAGAGAAAGGAAACACAAAACACATAAAATAATCTTTGTTAAGTGAATGCTTGGAATTTATGATATTTTAGAAGTTTTTGTCTGAACTTGGAGTGTAATACCTAGAAAATGAGTTTTGCATGTTAAATATGTGGACTAAACTGAACAAGAAATGGCTGAAACTGTATTTGTGAATTATTTCCTAAGTTATCAGGATTGCCAAATCTCTGCAGTAAAATATACATAATTATTTCATTAAAATCTTTATAATATTAGTATGCATCTACATTTTATAATGAAGCGTTGTTTTTGACACACTCACAGTACAGTAAATGGATATTATCCCATTGCAATCTGCATTAAAATTACTTCTTATTTTTCAGTGTTTAAGTAATGTTTTGTCATTTTTAAATGCTGCTGCAATCTTTCCCTTGGAGAAATAGCAATGGACTCTAAGTGATTGTCAGAATTTTTTTATAGAAGAGAGATTACTATTCTATGAAATACATAGATTATTTACATTGGTTTACCACACTGTATGTTATGTACTTTTTTCTTACCAAAGGTTTTACAAGTGTTCAGATGTTTTATTAGTTTTTACATTTTTTTTATTAAGCACACAAATATTTTGTTTGTAATTTGTTTAAACCTATTAACTGTAGCTGTAATTTGAATTCAGAGATTTTTGCATTCATAATTGTGTAATATTCGTTGCAGCCTGAGATGGAGCATTTTCTGTTGGCTCTAGCACTGTGTCACTCAGTACAAGTTGGCATTGGTAAAGGACACACAAACAATAACACTAATGCTAATCCAATTGCAAGCCTGGATTATCAGGCCTCTAGTCCAGATGAAAAGGCCTTAGTTGAAGCCAGTGCAAGGTAAGCAGTACAAGTAAAAGGACTTATTGTTATGTGACTACATCTATTTCATGTTACAGGATGCAATAGAAGAGTAATTTCCAAGTTTTTCAAATGTATTCTGCATTGTGTGTGTTTGTATTTTTGCACATGCATGGGTATGTGCAAGCCCATGCACGTGCATCTGAAAGTACTCTTGTTCTTTACTATTGTTAGGAGGAAAGCGGTCGGGAAATATGCCTAAAGGTACAACACATTTAATTTACTGTGATTTGTACATCTGTGCAATATATGGAAAATAAATTAACATGTTGTCGCATAAACATAGGGATATTTTATATTTATTTTTAGTTATGTGAGACTTTTGTACAACATTTGAAACCTTTTAAAAACTTACATATTTTTGTGTTCAGTACTACATGAATATGTTGGTATGTAAAATAGTGTGCATATGTGGGAGGGGTTCCATATGTATGTATGCCCATATGTGTGTAAGGGTTCTGTGACTGTGTGTGCTATAATAAAAGCAAACAGAAGGAAAACTGTGAATGAGAAGACATTAGTAGAAATACATACTTATCAATCCTATAAAAACTGACTGAAGAAGTAACTTTATGCAGTGTGATACAGGTGTGGTGTGGTGTTCCTAGGAGAGGAAGGAGATTCTATGTCTGTGATGATGAAGGGTAGAGTGTGTCATTACAGGAAACTAAACACTCTTGAGTTCACTTCTGGTAAGTTTTAATTTTGAGAAATTACTAAAGTATAAGAAGTATATGATGGAATAGAGCTTATGCCTTTAACCTTTATCATATGGAAAATGGTGATTAAGCACCTGTACTATGGAGGCTGCTGGCTTTATTTAATTATGTGGTTAATGGTATAACAGTTGCTCTTGTGATACATGTAAAGCTGGACTCTGCATAAAACTCAAAGACGATAATGGTTAAACAGTTGTTCAAAGAATATTATAATAATTTTGAACAGTGATATTCCTGACATTTTTCATAAAGTTTGTCCTCAATAGCCTCATACCATATGTTGCTAGCTTTCTGTTTTATTGTCACAATTCACAACAGATGTTCAAAGTTTCTGTACACTCTAATACTATCTTTCTTTTTAAGATCGCAAGAGGATGTCAGTTGTTGTACAGGATGAAGATGGACAAATATGGTTGTACTGTAAAGGAGCAGAATCTTCTGTCATTCCTTTGACAGATGCAGGACCTGTTAATGATACATTGCAGCATATTGCAGATTTTGCTATGGTGAGTCTCATATAACATTCTTACAGACTACACTCACATTCATGCACGTAAGTAGTTGGTTTCATATGCCGACTACCACTTACTTGGCAGTTTGCATCAGAATGTTAAATGAAGATAGTTGTCTTATCCATGACTCATCACCATAAGAACCTGAAATATCATCCAGATGTTAAGGGTTTATGACAGATAATAAAAATGCACAACTTATATCATTATGAAATTGGTACAAAGTAGTTTTTATTTTATAACAGGTCAGAAATAGGAAGGGCGTGTAACAAGATCCTCATTGAATTTTGCCAGTCTTTAACCAAAAACCATTGGTCTTAGAGGTCCAGTATCTCTTCGTTAGACTACCAGGTTCTGTTTCAGACTGACTTGACCTTGTATGTTAAAAGTATAGATAACTTGCTTCCAAACAAAAGACTCCTGGGTTCAGGGAATTCTTTCAAGTGTTGATAGGTATTTGGATTATCAGTTTTATAGAGGACTAAATGATATAACAGGGTATGCATGTCAAGTTTCCCCACAGCTTGCTTAATTAATTGCAGTTGGCTTCAGAGTAATTTTGCATATTGTTTGTAGGTCAGCGATGAAATGTTTATTGTCCACCCAACATGTACATAACTACTCTGTTTGTTTTTATTCTTTTATTATTTCAACACTTTATTTTCGCAATATTGATACTTTGGATTGACTTCTTTTTATTTATTAAGCTCATCTAAGTGTTTGCAATGCAGTCACTCCTCAGAAACAGAATAACCAACTAAACACAAAACAACCACTGAAATTCAGTTCAGGTTCATCCTGGATGCTTAATAACATTTTTTAGTGGCTTAGACTTAAAACAATACTTAAACTTAAAAAAAATCTGTGATTAATTTTTAGATCCAAATTGCCTTTATCTCATGATCTGTGTGTTAAACAGAGAGGCTTGCGGACACTTATAGTATGCTACAAGAAGTTAAGTGTGAAGGAATATAGCAAATTGGCAGCTCAAGTAGAACAATCAAGACAGACTCTGTCATCACAGAGGGTATCAATAATTGCAGCAAGCTATGACAAAATGGAGTCCAGTCTTACATTGCTTGGTGCCACTGGTGTGGAGGATCAATTACAGGAGGGCGTGCAGGAAACCTTGGAGAGTCTGAGAGCTGCTGGAATCAAAGTATGACTTACTGTATTTAAAGTCCATTCACAAAAAGTATACAGCTCAGTATATAGATGTTAGAATGATGACAGTGTTTTGGCTATTTGAATTTAGTGTGTTCTGTTGCCTTAGGCATTCAGTGTGAAATACATTAGCTTATTGGTTTACTTACATCTTTATTATCAGGTTGTATATTTATCAGTGCTTAAAGAAGCAGAATTTATTTTTTATTGTTACACATTTCTGTGTGTTTAATTTGTAACATGTTTATGTTAATGTGAATGAATGCAAGGTTTCTTTTTAACTGTAATACTTATAAGAATTGTAATAGAGAACTTTGCCTACATTGTCTACTTGTTGATGACACATTGTCAAAATGTTTAATACCAAAATAGCTGTTTGTTAAATGAGTTATTGTTATTGAGAAACATTAAATTACATTTAAACACACTTCAGATTATAAATGCAATATCTTGTAGGGCAAAAAACAAGCTAAGAATTCAGTCTGAAATCACTCTCTGTTTTACAACTTTGATCTTAAGTTACTTTTAATGTAATAGATAGTTAACATGTTTCATGTTCAAAGTCTTGTTGAATGTCACAGTCTGCTCCAGTAAATTATGGTGTAATTACTGTGCAGAGTTCTTTCTTTTGTTTCTTGGTTTATTTATGACAATGTAGCAAGTTTCCATGTGTAGAAAACTGGTTATAAAAACTGAAGCTTTGTCTTCAGTAAATGAGACAGTTTAATTAACTGAAACACAAAAATGAAATCTGAATTACGTATTTATTCTCTCTCATATGTGCACTGTCCCTTTTATAATTTCTTAAAACATGAAGATTTCTTAACAATGTAACTGTGTCCAGATGATTTTGTTCTTCTCGGATTTGACACTATGTGAACTCATAGGTAGACACCAACTTTTGGAAAAAAAATACTGTATCCATCTTTAGCCCTGAAGATGGAGACAGTATGCTTCTCCAAAATGTTGGTATCTACATACATGTCTGCATGGTGTCACAACCCACAAGAACATTGTTGTCATCTTCACTACTGTACTACTGTGAGAACTTCAAATTTTGCATAACAGTGTGGTGTTGATCATCATCATCATCATAATGTGGCAGGTATGGATCCTGACTGGAGATAAAGTGGAGACTGCTGTCAACATCTCATTCTCTTGTGGACACTTGAAGCCTGGGGCTCAACAGCTGTACCTTACAGGACACAAGTCAAAAGAGAGCTGCCTCCAGACACTGCAAATTCATAGGTTTGTTACAGAATTACATACCACTCAGTTCAGAATATTTTGTGTTCCTGTCTTTTATGAACATAAAAATATGTTGTTTTGTTTTGTACGAGTGTAAAAATTGTTTTCCATCCTAATTGAAGAACATCAAATTGTATGTTCTTGAGAAGAATCTGCCGAGGAGAATATTTGGTCTAAGAGAGCAAAACAATGGGAGGATGGGAGAAGAGCTCAACATAAATAAAATGAGGTGGTGCGGCATCTTGCAGGGAAATTCCAATTCTTCTTTCTTCCGTCAAAGGGAAAAGAAGTGTTCTTGATCAGATTCAGATAGATGTTTCTAGTTTTTATCAATCAGGTATGGTGGTGAGTCCTGTGACTGTGCTGTGAAGTAAGCCTTGCTAAACACTGACTTTAGGGGACATGTTCATTGAATTTTGCGAGAGTTTTCAGATGTCCAAGAGTAAGTTGTGCCTGTTAGCAAGACTATTAGTAAGGAATGTAACTTTGTAAAAATACCTTTTCTTAAGGCACTTTTAATTATAAACTAAGCACATCCAAAATATTGGCAATCACCCACAAACTACACAGCATCACAATCCATAGGACCACAATTGACAACTTAACTGCTATGAGAACCTTGTATATCAGAGTGAAAGAATGTAATTAAAATTCAATTACCTGTGATGTTCAAGATGACTGTATTCTGCATTACTGAAAATGGATTGAATTTATTCAACTGATGAAGCCACAGTATAACTCTCCCAGGTCAAATAGAGGACTACATACATACATCTTTATTACATTCCATGGATCCATACGTTAGTCAGATGACAATAGGATGTAGAATAAGTCATAATAATACAATACATGTTATACAAATACATGTCATACTATTATATAAATGTCACAAATACAAAGTGTTCACATAAAGTAGAGATAAGTTACAAGTAAACCCACCCATTATATACAATAAATAAATTATGACTTACGTATAAACATTAGAAATTCATTGACAGAGTAAAAGGAGTTTGTAATTAAGTATCTTTTCAATGCTAGTTTAAATTGTGCCTTTTTATTTACAAGACTTGTGAGATTTGATGGTAGACTGTTGAAAATTTTGATCCCTGCATAATATGCACTCTTCTGAAACCAGAGAGGTTGGCAATTGGTCTATGAAGCTGATTTTTATTCCTTGTGTTGACA